TATATGAACATTTCAACACAGATAATCTCTGTGTATTTTTCTAAAAGTCCCCAAACCCAGACCTTAGATGCCATTCTACTGTAGCTACGTATATGGAGCTTTGGGCAAGTTCGTGAAACCTCATCAATCTTTTTGTTCAGTTGTACATCTAGCCTGGACTCTCTCTCAGTCTTCAAATTCCTAGCATGTAGGTATTTTGTAAACTGAGAAGCTCTAAACAAATACCAGGTGTGTTAGTTTTCTTAGCGAAGAAGGATGATTAGACCTGAAAGGATGAATGCTTTCTTTCCATTTTTCCACGTCTCTTCTCGCTCTTCCAAAAAACCAACAACACAAAACACCCCACGGTTACCAAGTCTCTTGTGATTCATAGTGACCTTAAGACGGTGTCCCACCCTGGGAACCGTTAAAGGAGCAGACAGCTTCATCTTTGTCCAGAGGAGCAGCTCAGTGGGTTTAAACCACGGACCACGCCGTTCGGAGCCCAAATCCTAACTCAGGTGCCTCCGGAGTTCCTCCTTCTCCCCGCAGATTCCTACTTGATTCAAGGCTCATTTGGGAAACTTGCCCGTGTCTCGCCTGTACTGTTTGCCCCAATCACTTACTTTGCATCTGTTCCACATGTATGTGCACTGTATTGAATCCACATTTAACTTGGCCAGATGTATCGTACTTAATCGAGTCTTTCAAACTTTTTGAAATCACTTATGTACTGGGTGTAGCCAGGGCTCTCTTGAGTTTTTAGGAAACTATGAAACTCCTTTCTTCCCGCCCAGCACATTCTCTTGCCCGAAGGATGTGTAGATGTATAAACTGGGCAGCCTCAAAATCAACATTTCTTCCGGAAAACCTTCCATAATCTCTCTGATGGATGGCATCTGGATCCTAAAGATCATTCCCATCACCACTAAGATGTAAGTGTAAACGTCTCTCCAAGGACATCGCCACTCAACTGTAAGAGTCAACTGTTTGTCCAGGAGAGACCACCCACCTGAGGCCTTGTGCGGGACTGTCCCCAGCAGGGGGACATTGATTGTTGGATCTGCCATGATGCCTTTATCCAAGGAGCGCAAGGACAGGAATTCATAGAAGTATTCTGCCTGCAACAGAAGGCATCGACAGTTAGTCTTGTGGGAACTGTGGAGTGTGAGAAGGCATTTCTCAACCCGTCCTCTGTCGGCTGGGAGTGACATTTGCACTCAGAACTCGAGAGTACGTGAGGTTTAAGACGACATGTCTGTTTTCAAACTATAGAATTCGAATATATGATCCCCTGGAATCATTAAAAACACTTATTCAAAATATCCACTAAAAGTAGCCTTTTAGCTTTAATGACATTATTTATTTGCTTATCCCTAAAACAAAACAAAAAAAAGGTTGTGAACGAAGTGCTCTCAAGGGAATCTTCAATGAACCCTTAAGAAAATTCAGATCAACTCATGCCAGTCTTTAATGCCTTTCAAATCTGATGTGAGTCTTCCGATTGGAATTTGGGAAGCTGGCATAAATAGAGGATCATGGAAACAGCAGTTTACTTATAAGTAGCAAAAGAAAATATTAAAGTTCAAAATTTAATGACTTGACTGTTAGCATTTGTTTTCTTGTCTCATTCCCTTTGGGAGGTTTATTTTAAGGTCTCAACTTAATTATAGAGAAGAAGGCTTAAAATTCAAAAAAGCCACTATTTCAATATGACAAGCTATTAAACTTTATACTGTAAATATTTTCACTTTCCCACTACATCTTTGGTTGAGAAAAAAATTCCTGCTACTTAAACAACCATGAAAAACTAAAAGTAGTGATACATTCTCTCACTGTAGAGTATTGGGGCTTATCTGATTCCCAACTTGGGTTGGTAAAAGCACTTATGAAAAAAAAAACATACAGAAAAACGCATAGTAGAAATACAAAAAATAGGAAGCACCTTGAATGGATCTGCAGAGCTCAGTAGAAATATCCAGAATCTGGATAGATTAATTTCTTAAAATTAACTATACAAATGTGGGTTCAGAGGAAATATTTTTTAAAAGAACTTGAGATTTTATTATATGGAGTATAAAATCTGTTTTGCAACATGGAAGATAGGATGAGCTACATGATAGGCATTCAAGTAACTTTCTTCTTTTTAATCATACCACTAATATCAAATGTTCAGTGTTCCAAAATCACTATCTATTACTGTCCAGGCTTTCTGATTCATAACGATCCTAGAGGACAGAGTAGAAATGCCCCACAGGCTTTCCAAGGCTGTAAATCTTCATGGAAGTAGACTGTTCTCCCTCCAATTGGCTGGTGCGTTCAAACCACTGATCTTTCAGTGAGCAGTCAATCACCAGTGGGCTCCCTTTACACAGTGTGGAGAATTTCATATGAAAATAAGAATGAGGGGGAGCACAGGGGAACCCATCACAAGGTTGGATATATAACCCCTAACCCCGGAGGATGAATAACAGAAAGGTGGGTGAAGGGAGACAATGAACAGTGTGAGGCATGCAATAACAATGATAACATATAATTGATCAAGGATTCATGAGGGGAGAAGGGGGGCGGAGAAGAGCTGATACCAAGGGTTCAAGTAGAAAGAAATTGTTTTAGAAATGTTGATGGCAACGCATGGACAAGTGTGCTTAATACTATTGAATGATGGATAGTTATAAGATTTGTAAGAGCTCCCCAATAAAATGATTATTTTTTAAATAAAAGATAATAATGCCAAGCATTAGGTCTCAGCAGGTACAGGGACACTGTCTGCATTTGCAGTGAGTTGAAAACACTTCATGGACTCACGAGGCCAAAAGGAACGCCTTCATGGACCAAATACCCATTGCAGCCCCTCCCCTGAGTGGCGGCATCGTTTCCACTGTTAATGGTTCCCTGAGTGAGTTAATAAATTCATTCATTAGGTGGGCCCTGAATATCAAGGGCCATAAGTCAGACCCCTTTTCAGTCTTTCCTCTGTCACTTTCCTCCTCTTACCTCATAGAAAATCACCAAGACACAGCCCCCAGTTCTTCTCACTTGATATTCTGTCATAAAGCTCACATTTTCCAATGGAGTCCGTGGTTTCCTCCGAGGAAATGATGCCCCATTGAGCCCTTCACACCATGCATACCCAAGGAGTGCAAGAAGTCTGACGAAAGGAGTGCTGTCTGAGAAGGCATTGGGAATGAGTTCCTTCAAAACCAGGAACTGTGTTTCTGCGACTGCAGGAAAACCTGAGACTCTTAAAAGTGGGCAATCCCTTCCGTAGATTCCCGTCGATCTGCATGTTTGCAGTGACTTTTCTCCCAGCTGTTTCCTCTGCACGTCACTGGACCATATGTACCATTCTGCTAGCTGGCATTGTGAAAGGATTTAGTGTTAGATGCCCTCATAATGAATAACTTTGGGATTATTTATTTTACCAAGTACAGTTAAAAAGAATAAGCAGCAATAATGTTAACAAACACCCATGTAATGTATACCAAGCCCCAAAGACTTATGACATTAGAATTAACAGGACATATCAGGAAACGATGGAAAGAACTGAGTGGAAACTATGCAAAATCTTTGTAACAAAAACATGTCAGTGGCTATATTACTTCAAATACCATACAGTGAGAAATTATCATTGACGCCCTTTTATCATATGCTTGTACTTTATCATATTATGAATTAAGGTAGCTTTAATCATATTATGATAATCTGTTTAAAATTCCATTTGTAAGAACTAATATAATTTTTAAAAGAGAACATATACAAGAGATAGTTCGTTTT